TGCTGCAATCCCTTCTCCATTCTCCTCTTGGGATCTTGGGCATGCACGCACACATGCCCTGCGTGAGTTTAAGCCACCGGGTCTGGGACTCAACCCGTGGTCGACTACATGGGATGCCAGCAACATAGCCATTACGCTAACTGCTGGTCCCGGGGGAGTAATGATTTCTCACTTTCCCTCTCTCTGTTCCTGTTTCTCTCCAATGAGCTCTATAGTTAAAAAGGAAAAAAAAAAAAAAGAGGGACCAGCTGATGGGGTAATGGGTAAAACACTGGACTCCTGTGTAGTTGACTGCGGTTCAAGTCCCAGACCCGGGACTTAACTTAAACTCACGCTGGGCATGTGTGCGTGCGTGCCCAAGATCCCATAGAGGAGAATGGAGAAGGGACTGCAGCATGGCTTCTTGCTTTCTGTCTCTCTGTCTTTCTGGCAAACACACGTGCCCTATAGCAAAAACCTCTCCAAAAAAAAGAAAAAAAGAATAGGAGCAGAGAAAGGGCTTGTTTCATTAGCAGCATTACAAAGAAACAGGAAATTTGTTTGCACCTTATAAAAGCCCACAGAAATGTATGCATGAAAACATATGCCTATGGCGGCCCAGCAGGTGGCATGGTGGTTATGGCACATGACCAACCACAGTTCAAGTCTTGAACCTGGCAGCTTAGTTTCTCACCTTCTCTTGCTCTGGTGAATTAAAAACAATAATAATAATGGACCAGCAGATGGTATAACGGTTATGTTGCTGGACTCCTAAGTAGTCAACTGCAGAAGTCCCAGACCCAGAGGCTGACACTCTGGGTGCATGTGCGTGCGTGCCCAAGACCTGAGAGGAGGATGGAGGGGAAGGGAATGTGGTGTGGCCATCCTCCCTGGGGGGTGACTTCTCACTTTCTGTCTCTGTCTTTCTCTGTCTCTCCAGTGGCACACACGCCCTATGGCAAAAAAAAAACAAAAACAAAAACAAAACAAAACAAAACCCTCTCTCTCTCAAAAATAAAAACATGAATATAAAGTAATACTAATAAATAAAATTAAATAAATAAATTTGTAAATGCTTGTAAAACAAACAAACGACAATAAAAGACCCAGGCAGCATAGGCCCTTACAGGAACAATCCCCTCCCAGAAGCAAACACGCACCAAAATGTTCTCAGTGGTTCAAGTAAAGACAGACACGCAGGCAGAACCGCGTCCACACGAAGGCGCGCCCAGAGCGGGATAAAGACCCGTAAGCTGCAGCTGCTGTACTTGTTTATTGGCCCTGCAAACGGGGAGCTCCGTTTTCTCCAGCACCTTTCTTTTTGGAGGTGCCGTCCTGACTCTGCCTCTTACTTTGTCTCTTGCTCCCCATCTTGCCCTTTTGCTGGGGCTGGAGGTGCTTCCTCTGTGGCCCTAGGAGCCTCAGTCAGGTGGGCTGAGTCCTGGGGGTGGCGATGGCAAGCAGGTCTGGATCCCGCCCCCACATCCTAATTCCTCCAGTGTCGGGTCTCGGTCTCTGGGTGTTGCTGGGTGTGGTGTCAGTGGTCTGGCCTTGGTGGTCTGGAGGGAGGGAAAGCAAGTGATGAGACAGAGGCCTGGGTTAGTCCACCTCTCCTACTCACTCACTCTGTGACTCCAGAGGACTCCACCCGCTCTGGCCTCAGTTTCCCTCCCTGTAAGCCAGATACCCTTCCATTTGGAAAGGCCCCACCCCCCACTTCCCTTTGCTCTGGTCAGAGGAAACCAAGAGCCCTATGATGGGATGGCGTCCTTCGAGCCCTCCCCCCCACCTGAGCGCACAGCGGCCTGGCCTGGCTCTCCGAGCTCCCTGACTCCCCACCTCGAGCTCCGTCTCAGCGCCGTGCGCCTTGTTTCTTCCGCTCTGAGTTCTGGAGCTTGGTCACCAGCTTCCTCTCATGCCCACCAGGGCTGGGGCGGTTGGTGTTGGCAGCAGCTTCTCTCTTGGTGCGACCTTTCCGGCTTCCACCTCCTGGTAACCAACGCAGAGGTGGAGGTGAGGCTGGTGGAGGCGTGATAAGGACAGGCAGGTGGGAAAGGGCAGGGAGGGAGGCTGGAGGCCCCACCACCTCTGCTGGCTGTTTTTCCACCCGGGGAATGAGGAGCCCTTGGTATGGAGGTCCCAGGGCTGAGGTCACCTGCACTTGGTGGGTGAGAGATTAGCAGGGGAGACATGAGGGGTCGAGGGATCAGGTTGGGCAGAAAAGGCTGAGGGGGTAGGGAGAAGTTTAAGGAGGGGACCACGGTGGGGGGGTCAGAAGTGGAAGGACTGGGAAGGTAGCAGCTAGGACCTTACCCAGGGAAGAATGGGCCAGACCGTAGAGATCGTATTCATCCAGGCTGAGGTCCTCATCGTCTGGGCCCAGGGGCTGCTGGGAGGGGCTGGCTGCTTGCGGGAAGGCCGCCATGATGTCTGGCTAACTCTCTGTCTCTGTCTTGTTCCTGCGGAGTTTCCTCTCCCAGCTCACTCGCCCCAGTTTATAAAGCTGTCTCCTCCTCAGACCACAGTCTGGCTCCAGCCCCTCAGGCCTGTCTGATGCAATCTGGCCCTTTCCCAGAACCCAGCCCAGTAAACACCAGGCATGAGGGGAAAGGAATTGGGCCCCATGAGTCCCAGCCCCCTTGCTGGGGCTGCCCAGCTGGGTATTTTTCCACAGAGGAGATCCCCGCCCCTTGGGGAGGAGAGAAGAAGCAGGGAATGAAACATAAACAGTCCTCCGAGGTTGGCCAGCCAGGCGGGGTGGGGGGGCTCACCTGGGCCAATTCCTGCCCATCCTCCACCCTCTGCCACATGGTCCTTCTGGGTGTTACAGTTTAATCAGCGAGAAATAAGAGGACATCCAGACACACCCAAATTTATTGGAGTTTTATTGATTAATAGGCCGGCAACTGCGGGAGGATTCACGTCTCTCAAAAAGCCGGCAACCCCGAGTGTAGGGAGAAGGGGGCTTAGAAAGGCAAAAACCGGGAACCAGCAGTTAGCGTAATGGCTATGTCACTGGACTCCCACATAGTCGACGCGGCGGACCCGGTGGCTTAAAACTCACGCCGGGCGCGTGTGCGTGCGAGCCCAAGATCCTGAGAGGAGAATGGAGGAGAAGGGATTGCAGCGTGGCCATACCCCCTGGGGGGTGATCTCTCGCTTTCTGTCTCTCTGTCTCTCTCTGTCTGTCTGGCGAATGCATGTGTTCTATAGCAAAAACCTCTCCCCCCCCCCAAAAGAAAAGAAAGGCAAAAACCACATTTGGATTGACCTGGCAGGAGCAGTAATCACTGAGGGGGGTGGTAACAAAGGGAAGGAGTGGAGATTGTTTTGCTAAGCAGTTGCAGAGGCCAGATCAGGCTGGTTAATCCTTCCCAGGGGTACTTCCCATCCCTAAGTAAACACAATGGAACCTTAATGACCTTTATGGCTAGGGCAAGGGGGTTGGTGATGGTTATTATATCATTACAGAACATCTTAAGGTAGAGGGTTTTGGGTTATTTAACAAAGATAGTAGGAGTGTTAATCACTCTCTTTACTCTAGGCAAAAGGAGAAATTTGGTTTCCAATATAGAGAGGAGTTCAAAATGGAGGTGCTCCCGCCTCACTGCTTCAGAGGCAGAATATGGGACGAAGAAGGGGAGAAGACAGCAACACACCATGGGTGATCCTCACACTTATCACACCCAACACCCTTTTTTTATAAGAAACACCTCAGAAAGCTCCCTTGACATCCTGAAATGGGGGTACCTCGGTAATCTCCCTCACCTGAGAGGGAGGATAGCAGAGTGCAGATTCGGGAGCCCGACACCCTGGATTCAACCCTTCCTGTGCGACCTTGCACATGACACTCACTGGGCCTCAGTTTCCTACTCTGTACAAGGCGACTGGTTAATGCTTGCATGTACCTCAACAAGCTGGCGAGAGAATTAAACGAGACAGTACATCAAGTGCCTGGCACCGTGTAAGCACTGTGGAAGGGTTCATTACATCATTTCCAAGAAACCAGCATAACGCTCTCACGGTAACACAGAGGAGACACCAAAGGAAACCGACTCAGAGTACAGTGAGCTGCATTTCAGTCCAGCCATTGTGGCACTGTGGTAATGCAACATTCTGTGATGCCAAGGCCTGTGGAGGGATCCCAGGTTCACATACCGAGGTCTCCGTATGTGTGGCAGGTGTGCACGGGTGCCCATTTCTCTCTCTTCTCTCTCTCTCTTGCTCTCATGAAATAAATAAAATAAAATTGGGACCAGCAGGTGGCATGGTGGTTAAGGTAGCTGGATCCCGGGTGGCTGACTGTACAGACGAACTCTGGACGAGGCAGCTTTAAAACATGCCAGCACATGAGTGTTCATGCCCAAAGTCCCAGGAGAAGAATAGAGATGGGATTACAGCATGAGCATCCCCCCCGCGAGAGTGATTCCTCACTGGTCTTCTTTCTTCCAGTGAGTACACGTGCTCTATAGCAAACTATATAAATAATAATAATAATAATTTTTTGAGAGGTTTTCGCTATAGGGCGTGTGCGCTCGCCAGACAGACAGAGAGACAGAAAGCAAGAAATCACCCCCCAGGGGGGATGGCCACGCTGCAATCCCTTCTCCTCCATTCTCCCCTTGGGATCTTGGGCACGCACGCACACGCACCCGGCGTGAGTTTTAAGCCACCGGGTGCGGGACGCAAACTGCGGTCAACTACGTGGGAGTCCAGCGACATAGCCATTACGCTAACTGCTGGTCTCTAATAATAATAATAATTCTAATAAAATAATATGTGCTTCCAAACATGGATACACTGAGGTAGATGATGTAATGAAATGAGCAGGTGTTTGTACCTATTTAATATCAATTAGCATGAATCTAAGGGTAAGAAGGGTGAATTAAGTATACATTTCATAGGAATTAGTATAAATGGTAAGAGCAGATAAGAAACAAGTGACAATGACGTGCTGGGTGCATGAGTACCAGCCCAAGATGCTGACAGGCTGGGGAGGAGGATCATGGCATGCTGAGACCCTCTCAGAGGGGCTCTCCTCCCTCGCTCCCTCACACACACGCTCTCTATTAGGAATAAAATAACCAAACAAACAAAAGAAGAGGGCTAGCCAGTGGCGTGGTGGTTAAGGCTGAGTTCCACATAGCGGGTTGAGCCGTTCAAGCCACCCAGTGGCTTGAGAAACATGCTGGGCATGTGTGCGTACGTGGCCAAAATCCCAAGAGGATGATGGAGAAGGGATTGAGGCTAGCCGTCCTCTGTGGGAGCTGATTTCTCTCTCTCTCTCTCTCTCTCTCGCTGACTTTCTGGTGAGCACATGTGCCCTATGGCAAAAAAAAAAAAAAAGGAAAAAAGGACACATGGAAACGGAAATGGAAAGTTCTACTCCGTCCTAAAGAATCTGAACTGCGTGAGTCATGCTGGCCCAGAGAGGCTGCACCCTTGATTGCCCGCTCCCATGTTATCTGCCCTGCAGTGTCAGGGCAAGGAAGGAGGCAGAGAAAACACCCCACATTTTTCAACCCCTGGTTTCCAACTAACCAGGACCTTCTCAGCCCAGGCTAGATGTTGCTCCTCTGCTCACATCCATGACTTGACTGTGAGCCTAGTGAAACATGATTCTGTCTCAGCATTACCTAATAAAAATTCCTTCCTTCTCCCAAACCCTAGAACAACCCAGTCTCATGCTTCAGTAAACGAGAAGCAACACTTCTTCTTGCGTTTCTCTCACGACTGAGCCAGAATGAAATTTAGCTTTTGTTTTCCAGATTCAGGTGACTTGTGAGTTTTTTTTAAATACCTAGGAATTGAAAGTGAAGACAGAAGGACAGGGGGACCATGCTTTTCAAGCAACTTTGTGACCATACGGGAAATTGTAGGTTCGGATCCCTGGTAGACTGCACATGCCAGGTATGCGTGCTCATGATCCTGGCCAGCTGGGAGAATTAGGGGGTTGGAGTGTTGTGGTGTGGGACCCTGTCAGGGGTGTTCTCTTTCTCTCTCTCTCTCTCTCATTCCACTAAAATAAACCAATTGAAAAACTTTTCAGAAAAGCAGAGTTGGGGCCAGCAGGTGGCATGGAGGTTAAGGTAGGTAGATCCCACTTGGGATCTCTCTTTAAGAGAGATTTTTGTTATAGGGCGCACATGTTTGCTGGAGAGATAGAGACAGAGACAAAAAGCAAGAAATCACCCTCCCAGGGGATGGCCACACTGCAATCCCTTCTCTTCCATTCTCCTCTCAGGATTTGGGGCACATACATACATGTGCCCTGGCATGAATGTTAAGCCACCATGTGTGCGTGCGTGCGTATGCGTGTGTGTGTGCATATGTGTGTGTGTGTGTGTGCATATGCCTGCCTATCATCCTGAGAGGATAGAGATAAAGGGATTACCACATGACCATCGTCTCTGCGGGGTGGTGGTGGGGGGTGATTTCTTACTCTCTTTTCTCTCTCTCTAGGGGCATTCTTGCCCTATAGCAAACTAGTACAATTTCAATTTAAAAAGAAAAGCAGAATTGGGATAATAATAACAGACAAAATGATAAGAGAAAGAGGAAAATAGCTTTCCTTTCAACAAAAATGATACACCAAGACCAATTAGAAAATGAGGAAATACAGTGTTCTTGGAATGCAGTGTTCTTGGAAGGTGGTCGACTTTTTCACTGAACTTAGCAGCAAAAAGCGTCCTCTCTCATGACATGGGATGGGGCTAGGTTTCAGGCTCAGGTCACTGTAAATAAGTTTCTTTCCTCCACGAATATTTGTTCAGCAGAACAGGCAAACATCACTGGACCCAGGGACAATGGGATCATCTTGCACTTTCCTTTTCTGTGACCCACCCTGTTATTACACCGCCCAAAACAATCCCAGAAAGTCCCAACATGCCCTGTAGGGGGCAGTCTTGGCTCAGTTGAGAAACGGTTGCTTCACCCATCTGCCTCTGCCACGGGGCTCCTAGGTTACTAGCAGGGCGGCTCTTAGGGTTTGGATAACTGTGTGTCCCCCGAGGTTTCATGTTTCAGAATTTGGATGTTCCTCTAAAACCTGTATTGTTAGCATCTTAATTGTATTGTTAAGTGAAAACTTAATTCCTTCATGGTGTCTGGGTGTGGGGCCTTTGGATGTGACAATGTCATCAGGGCAGGGCCTCCATGACTGAACCGCAGAGAGAAAGCCTCGCGGACACAGACTACGCTCACTCTGCTACAAGTTCTGCCTTCTGCCATTTTGTGAGGTTTTTCAACTTCACAGCCACTAGAACTGAGAGTCAAAATACGCTTCTATGGGGAACCAGCAGTTAGCGTAATGGCTATGTCACTGGACTCTCACGTAGTCAACCGCGGTTCATGTCCCGGACCCAGTGGCTTAAAACTCACGCCGGGCGCGTGTGTGTGCGTGCCCAAGATCCCGAGAGGAGAACGGAGAAGAAGGGATTGCGGCGTGACCATCCCCCCTGGGGGGTGATTTCTCGCTTTCTGTCTCTATGTCTCTGTCTGTCTGGTGAGCGCACACACCCTATAGTGAAAAACCTCTCCAAATAAATAAATAAATAAACGCTTCTATTCTATTAAATTCACCCATTCTCAGGTGTTTCTGTTAACAGCGCAGTAACAGACTAACACAGAGACCATGGGCC